GGCCAAATCGCCAAATATTGTCAAACTAATGAAGATTTCAAGCCAAAGCTTCCCAATTCCAAAGCATTTCAGTGTACCAGCACGGCGGGAAGTAAGTTCACTCAAAAAAAAATTATGAAATTTCATATCCAAAGGAGTCTAAAATTTCATAATTACGTTCTAAACCTCAATTTTTAAACCTTCGTATAAAATTTAAGATCGTGTAATGAAACCTAAGATTTGGGTTATGGATTTTAAGATTAACTGGTTATAAATTTTTAGAACAGAGTAACTTATAACTCCGGTTCTTAAAATCTAGTTTTTCGTTTTGAAATTTTATAACGCTTGCCGATTTAAGAGCAAGGTTCTAAAATTTTTTAACCGTTTGTCCTGCTCCCTAGTCCTTTATTCATGGTAAATTAATAAATAGGTGAAGTTTTCTTTTTTATCGGCATGTGTTAACATTTTCCGAACCGCTAAGGTAGGAGTCCTACACTGAAAAAAATTTTGTCGTAACTTAGCGACACTTTTATCGCTAATTTTTTTAGCGACAAGATTTGTTGTGGAACGAATAGCTTGTTAAACGGCAGAATGACTAAGGCGGCAAAGCTGCTCAGAGAAAAGTAAAGAAAAGCTCATGTGACGTCAAACTGTTAATAGAATTTGGCACTAGACGATTCGTTAAAGCCGGTTTAAACTTATTTTGTATCTTGATCTCCCCCATTATAGCATCTAGTTAAGATAATTTTGACCTTTCATTAAAATTTGAAAGGGTTTTTGTCTCTGAAAATCGCGGCAACTCAGAACTACTTATGTAGATGAGCCAGGTTTTGAATCCTTGCGAAATTTAAAGTGATGTTATTATGAAGCTGAAAATAAACGTAGCGCTCCAAAGCTTTTTGGCATCGTCTATTGTTAAGTTACCTTAAAAGGGGGCTATGGGAAAGGGGTATGGTCCACTGTCAGCCGCCTGACGTCAGGTTGCACAAACCTGCCGCTAGGTGGCGCTTGGAGCGCCGTGCCCGTTCACCAATAAGTATTTCCGATTTATGTTACGAAAGTAAATAATTTTTGATAAATATATCATCAGTTGCCTAAGTAAGTGTCAGCCCTAGCCGTTGGCTTCAGTTTTAAACAAAATATTACACTTAAGTCGAAAACGCTTGTCCAAGTTGCCACTCGCGGCGACTGCGGTCGGCCATTAGGTTGGGTGCACGCAAGATCCGCTTTGTGTTACAGGGAGTGGATTGAGATGTCTCTCAGGAGGAAGAAACCTCCTGGGAGATAGTATCTCCTAAATTTTTTTTAGTCCCTTTCCCCAATGGGAGTGACGCTGGCGCCACTCTCTCGGGAGAAATCATAGCTTTCTGAGATTTTTTTTTGTAATTTATTCGTTACGAAAGGCAAAAAGGGTTTTATTTACACATTTTGTGCGCAGTAATGAAACTATTATCATGTTTCATAATATTGGTTGTAGAGATTCAGAACCAAATGTGAATTTTCAAAACACGTAGATTCTGAAAATTAATAAACTAGTTCTTACATTTCATAAACCACTTCTGAAAGTTTAGAACAGCAAGTTATGAAATTTAAGAACGTTTTGGATATGAAATTTAAGATCCATTGTTCTACAATTAACTTCAAATCCAGATTATGAAATTTAAGAAGCATTTTTTTTAGAGTGTTTGTTCCCTCCTGATGCTGGCTGGGCTGTTGCAGGGTTTGGCTGGCGCCATGTGCAGGTGCTCGGCATGTTCCTGATGGGCTGCTCGGCGATAACGCTCCGCGTGTGCCTGTCCGTGGCCGTGGTGGACATGACGGCCGCGGACAACGGTGACGGCCAGCAGGTAATTCGCCTTACGCTAAATTTATTTTTAAGCACGTTTATGTACGATTTTGTACGCGGTGTAACATTTTGCAAACGCTCTCAGCACGTTACTGACTTTTGCTCACTTTGTCAGTACGTGTGCAAGTAATTTGTTCAGGATGACAATTTTAGTGTGCAGTGGGTCCAACGTGCCTTTTTTCGCCAGGTCAGCTTTTTTTTTCCAAAGGACACGCAGGGTTCATCTCGGCGAGCCGCGGATAAAGATAAGGATAAGGCGAGAGAGCTAATGTAAATATGCTGCAGCGTGGACCATAGGACAGGATTGCTCCAAAAGTGGGGCTCTCGCCTGGTTTTTCCCACGTGTGAGAGACAGGGACTCTCGCACTGTACAAGCCTTTCACGCCCACACACTGCGTGAGCTCCTGTTATTTTATTTTCTTGGATTTCTATCCTCTCTGCAAACTGAAGTGTGTACATAGTACACTCTTATTAGAGCATACTTCCAAGTACACTCTTATTTACAGCATACTTGCTAGGCACACGCTAAAAAGAGTGTGCCTGGCAAGTACACGCCAAATAAGTGGTACCTTCCCTGTACACGCTAAAATACCTCGATAAGTCCTATCTAAAAACATGGGCCAGTTTAAGTGTACTTGCCAGGGACACTCTTATTTAGCGTGTACATGCAATGTACACTCTATTTTAGTGTGTACCCAGCAAATATGCTGTAAAAAAGTGTGTACTTGGAAATATGCTCTAATAAGAGTGTACTATGTACACACTTCAGTTTGCAGAGCTGATGTCAAGCTGCTCACAGTTAATGCCTTACACACTGAATGTTTATGTAGAATTTTGTACGTGCCACTCGCACGATTTTGTGCATGCGGGGAATTCGCATAAAATTATGCGTGAAAATGCATCAATTTATGCAAATTCACGCACAATTTTATGCACGACGGAACACAAGTTTAAAATTATGCATCACCACGTACAAAATTGTACATAAACATTTAGTGTGTACGGTGAAAGGCTGCACCGACATATTATGGTGGAGACTTTCTCCATAATACCAACGAAATTCGTCAAACTATCTATAAGGTACAGTGAATTCTCAATGGTGTTACGAAGTCAGCTGCACCGCCATAATATGGAACATTTTCACCATAATATGGAGAATCTTCACTGTAGAACATTTAGAGTGCTGAGGGCTAAACAGGACTCGAACCGAACGTGTGACCCCACATGGATTCCTCGTTCGGAGAGCAATCCATTGGTGGGGTCACACGTTCGTTTCGAGTCCTGTTTAGCGACTCTGGAGTTCAAAACGCGTCCTGGATTTTGGCCGCCTTCTCCGGTCTTCTGGCCCACTGTGCGCAGCGCTTCGACTGGGCGCCGACGGAGAAGAGCGCCGTGCTGGGCAGCTTCCTGTGGGGCTACATGTCGACGCAGGTGCTGGGAGGCGCCCTGTCCTCGCAGGGCGGCGCCACGCTCATCCTGGGGTCCGCGCTAGGCCTCAGCGGCCTGCTCACCGCGCTACTGCCCTTGGTGGCCACCATCGGGGGCTGGGCGGCCGTCACGGGCCTCAGGGCCGTCACTGGAATCGTTCAGGTGGGGTGCCTCTTCACAGCAGGCCGGGTGCACGGTAAAAACGGAACCTGGTTTTCCCAGGCACTCCCTGGAAATCACCTATGTCTCTACCTTGGGCTTCCTGGGAAAACCAGGCATCGTTTTTACCGTGTGGCCAAGGTGGAGGCGGCCAAAACTCTAGACGCGTTTTGAGCCCCAGAGTCGCTAAATGGAACTCGAACCAAACGTGACCCCGCCAATGGATTCCTCGCTTCGAGAGCAGTCCATTGGTGGGGTCACACGTTAAATTCGAGTCCTATTTAGCGACGCTGGAGCTCAAAATGCATCTAGAGTTTTGACCGCCTCCACCGGTGTTCTGGCCCACTATGCACTGCACTGGAAACTGAACACACTGAATTCATTTGTACAATTTTTTGCGTGATCTCACAAAATTTTTGCGCCAGCGTGCTTTTTTTTTTTTCTGAAAAATTTGTACGCAGTTTCGCACAAATTGTGTGATTTTGGTTACAAATTTCTACGAAACAATTCGCTTGTTTAAGATTGTGTGAGACCACGCATACAAAATTGTACAAATTTGTTTTGGCCTGATTGCAGGGCTGCATGTACCCGACTACCTACACTTTGCTGGGACGTTGGATTCCCCCAGCGGAGAGGTCACGCTCTGGTGCCCTCATTCTTGCATGTGAGCTTTAACCAGGAAATGGAACAATGAACCAGAGACACAGACCATTAGTACACTGTAAATGTCTTACGGTGAAAGGCTGCACCAAGATATTATGGTGGAGGTTTTGTCCATAATACCAACGAAAACCGTCAAAATCTCTATTAGGTTCAGTGTATTCTCAATGGTATGTTATGAAGTCAGCTGCACCACCATAATATGGAACATTTTCACCATAATATGGAGAATCTTCACTGTACAACATTTAGAGTGTAAGTTCACAAATTCATATCAACGCAGCTGCCCAGCAATTTGCACTAAAAATTCTTGCAGTGAGGCAAGTGTGCGAAGAAATTTCTGCTTACGCTCTCCATGAACGTGACATCGCGTTGAAACGAATGTGACTAAATGTCTTTTTCCTTTGAGCGTCTGTGTCACATTCTTTTGAATGTCACATGAGTAAGCTTACTCATGTGACATTCAAAAGGAAAGTGACCAATTTGTTGAGGCTCTTGACGAACCTGAGAGAAGTCTAATAGTGTATAAATGCGCACAAACGTCAATGGATATACAGATAAAGTATCGATTGAAGGATGTGTGGATTTCCGCGAATGACCTGACATAGTAGGCAACACGGTAAAAACGGTTCCTGCGTTCTCCCAGGAACCCCCTGGAAATCGCCTATGTCTTCGCCATAGGGCTCCTGGGAAAACCAGGTACCGTTTTTACCGTGAATGGAGCAGATTTCAGTGGCGAATGGGGCAAATTTAAGAGCCTGATTGCTCTGTTACAGCCCAGCCGATGGGGAACGTGTTGTCCATGGCTCTGTCCGGCCTCATGGCGTACGCGTGGGGCTGGCCCTCCGTGTTCTACATCTTCGGAGGCGTCAGCATGGTGTCGGCCGTGGTGGTGTACGTGGTGCTGGCGGACCGCCCGGAAGCCCATCCACGCATCTCGGAGGAGGAGCGCGACTACGTCATCCAGGTGATGCGACCGACAAAACGCACAGTGGGCCAGAAGACCGGAGGAGGCGGCCGCAACTCCAGACGTTTTGAGCTCCAGTGTCGCTAAACAGGGCTCGAACCGAACGTGTGACCCCACCAATGGATTGCTCTCCGTACGAGGAATCCATTGGTGGGGTCACACGCGTGGCTCGAGTCACATTTAGCGACTCTGGAGCTCAAAACGCGTCTGGAGTTTTGGTCGCCTCAGCCGGGCTTCTGGCCCACTGTGTGAGAGTCCTTCGAGAGTGTTGGCGCCCTCTGAAGCATCCCGGTTGCAGAGCATCAATGCCGGGGCCATGCACCGCGCGCGCATCCCCGTGCCCTGGGTCGCCATGCTGACGTCGGTGCCGCTGTGGGCGCTCTTCGCGTCGCACCTCGGCTGGATGTGGGGCTACTGGGTGCTGCTGACCTGCCTGCCCTCCTACATCAATAACCTGCTGGACGTGGGCATCGAGTGGGTAAGCCTTCAGCAGGGCACAGTGGGTCAGAAGACCGGCGCCGGCGGCCAAAACTCTTAACGCGTTTTGAGCTACAGAGTCACTGAACAGGACTTGAACCGAACGCGTGACCCCACCAATGGATTCCTCGTTCGGAGGAGAGCAATGCATTGGTGGGTCACACGTTCGGTTTGAGTAAAGTTTAGCGATTCTGAAGCTCAAAACCCGTCCAGGATTTTGACAGTCTCCCTCCACCGGTCCGGTTTTCGTGCCAGTTCCACCAGATTACGGTACTTAGTGATTTCAATAAAATTTGTTTGCTTTTCTTTTTAAGAATGGTTTGCTTTCGGCGGCCCCGCAGCTGGCCATGATGATTTTGTCGCTCGTGTTTGGATGGATGGGTGACACAATACAATCGAGACACTTGATGTCAATCACAGCCACCAGGAGACTCTTCAATACTATCGGTAGTCACCACCTCCTTTGAAAATCTGTAATGGTATTACAGTGGCTTTGCAGTGATAGTTCAGTGCTCTGAAAGTAAACTGTCACGCTGTCCGCTGTAGGTATGTTCGGTCCGGGTGCCCTCTGCATCCTTGCCGCGTGGCTAGGCCCCTCCAACCCGCCCCTCGCCGTTAGCCTCCTCACCGTCATGGGCGGTCTCTGCAGCGCCTGCTTCACCGGCGCAATCATCAACTACGTGGACATCGCCCCCAACTTCGGGGGCGTCACCTTCGCGATAGCCAACATGCTGGGCTCCTTCGTGAGTGCGTTCGCTCCGTATGCCGAAGGCCTGCTGGTAGACCGAAAGGTAAGAGGGACTCGCGCACAGTGGGCCAGAAGACTGGTGCAGGCGGCCTTAAGTCTAGACGACTGGAACCGAAGGGTGATCCAACCAATAGATTCCTCGTTCGGAGAGCAATCTATTGGTGGGGTCCCACGTTCGGTTCGAGTCCCATTTAGCGACTCTGGAGCTCAAAACGCGTCTAGAGTTTTGGCCGCCATGGAGCTGATCATGTCGCTGTAGGCCATTCCTTGACCAGTTATTTCAACTCAACCGCAAGATCTGAGTGTGAAAGCCCATTCAACAAATGGTTGTCTCTAGTTCTCAACTAGTTCTCTGCATTATGCTCGAGAGGTGGCTGCACTTTCCTCATCATGTTCTTTGTTTCCACAACCGAAGAGATTATTTGTAGAAGCTTCCAGGATCCGTTTTTACCGTGCATAGTTGAACGAAATTTGTCTTTTCCTATATTTTGCTGCATTGCCACACAGTTGATAGCGTCTCTTCTTCTCTGGCAGGACCCCATGCCGGGATGGAGCAACGTGTTTTATCTGACTGCCGCCTTGTACATCGCGACGAACGTCGTGTGGTGTATTTGGGGCACCGCAGAGGTGCAGCCCTGGAACAACCCGGCATCCAGCAAGAGTGACTGCTTTGAGGAATCCACTCCGAGTACACGACGTAACTCTGGCAGCGCCGGTGAGTGTCATGTCTCACTACGTGTTACAGAGGGCCAGAAGATCGGCGGAGGCGGTTAACGTCCCGGACGCGTTTTGAGCTCCAGAGTCGCTTAATGGGACTGCAACCCAATGTGTGACTCCACCAATGGTGGTTCTTCCGAAAGAGGAATTGATTGATGGTGTCACACGTTTGGTTCCCGACTGGTTTCCCGGTGAGCGACTCTGGCGCTAAAAACGCGTCGAGAGTTTTGGCCGCCTCCACCGGTCGCTCTGCCTACTGTGCGTCTGTTCAACTACTGTCAAGTATTACCCAATTTGAAAACGATGGTTTCTATTTGTTTTGGCAGGTATTCGGAATGAAGCTTTTCACTCGGACAAATAAACAGATTCACCACCTTTGAATTACACCGTGGTTATTTCCGTCGCTGACACGATGGGTCCGTCACACTCACAATCTAAGCTTATGGCCGAAGTCGGGTGTTAAGACCCCAGCGGGTAAACGTGGAACACCACTTTGTCCCTGTTCGATTGATTATCATCGCTGTTAGAACAGCGATTATAATATGTACATAAGGTTCCCTCCTAAAGTGATTTTCACGATTTGATTATGAAGTTGCTCGAAACAGACGCGTATACATACTCACACAAAGCTGGGAGGTTTGGTTTAAAGAATGAGGTCCGTTGGTGCCACAAGGACAAGACAACGTATGAATCGAAAACTTAAAAAATAAAATAAACAGCATTGCTTTGGATCTGAAAGGTCAATTTCCTTTCGTCTTCCTGGCTTTCCTCGGCTTGCCTTCTCCCTTCTGTGAATCAATATGAGGACGGACGCATGTTCCACGTGGCCATGAAATGTTTTTTTACGATCGTCCTGGCCTTGTTCGATCGGCTTGCCTGTCTCGCTTTTGCCGGCCGCCCCTCCGCACGTAAGTTTGGTCTCTGCTAAAGGCGTCGTTTTCACTGCAGGAACCGTTCTACTAACCTAGTACTGTGATATCCAAACGCTGCACAGTGGGCCAGAAGACCGGTTCCAACGCGTTGCACCCATTGCCGCTGTGATGACTGGGAAACAAAAGTGCAGCAAAAGTGCGGCACGATTCTGGTCAATAATTTGCCTAAACCGTCCGCACTTGCCAACGTCCGTACTTGTTTTTCGTACCCGTTTACATGGGTTCATATGGAGTACTTCCCCGTACTACATTTTTCCGCATTTTTCTGTGCAATCTCCGAGCAACAATTTTTAAGGCATTTTTGACAGTGTAATTACTCATGGCGTAATGATTCTCAGGATTGATCTAGAGCTAGAATTGGATTCATCTAGGGCTACTTCGCTTCACTGTACCCGAGAGGATTTGCTCTGATTATGGAATGGTAACAACTTGCCAGCAAGACTCGCGGTCAGTGGGACGACAGCATGGTGCAGCTAATGCAGCCCTTTCTGTGGGGTGCGGCCCTGTACGGGTACTTGCCAGTCACATTCAGACGCGGTGAGTCAAATCAGGTACACTGTCGAAAATTGGCCACACTTTTTGCCGCCTCCACGGGTCTTCTGGCCCACTGTGCATCGTTTCTCTTGCCCTCGCTGCAGCTCCGCCGAGCAGTCCATACTACGTGTATCTGGGAATCAGCAGAACGTATCACCCACTGCGCAGCACGGTTCTTTGGGTGTGCGTGGTGCAAGGATTCATATGGTGGTCTATGTATTGGTAAGAAATTAAAATGTAATTATATACTCTGACCAGAAAACGAAGACCTCCGAATTTTTGCTGTCGAGAGTCACGTGTGTCACATTCGTTGGACCTGAATCAGCCATAAATGAGCTTAATGACGTTGAAACGAATGTAATACAATGCTGATTTGCCTACCTAAACGCAGGAAGTAATTTCTTGTACATGCTTCTTTTAAGCGAAACTGTAATCTTGCCTCAAGCTTTCATGACACTTAAGTTTTACCAGTGCAGAGTTGCTTATTTAGTGGAGCAAGCATGTCTGTGACAGCGTGACTGGTTCTTTCCAGCACCGCTTTTTCGACATTTCAAGTGACTTATGCTACGCGATGGGTGGTTTTAGAGCAAGGACCCCTGACAACCTTTAGAACTTTTGGTTCCCACATTACATTCAGATAATGAGTTTCCATCTTTTTGCGACATGGATTCAGTCTTTTCCGGGATCAGACGCAAAACTTCGCAGCGAGGATCTGAACCGCTTTGATTTCTTTGCTTGCGTCGTCACCCTCGTACAGGTTAGTTGTAAAATTACAACTAAATCACACTAGGGAGCGTTCATAAATTACGTAAGGGTCATTTAGGGTTTTTTGGACCCCCCCCCCACCCCTCCGTAAGGGAACTAACCTAACCTTCCCTATACATGGGACGTAAGATTTTGTAGATCCCCCACCCCCTATCGCCCTTACGTAAGTTGTGAACGCTCCCCATGATCAACTAAATACACTAAAATTTTGTCAAGGGGCTTCTGCGAATGTCCTCAGTGGGCCCGAAGACCGTCGCAGGCGACCAAAACTCAATACACGTTTTGAGCTCCAGAGTCGCTGAACAGACCCCGACAGGACCCCAACAATGGATTCCTCATTCGGGGAGAAATCTATTGGTGGGGTCACACGTTTGGTTACAGTCCCATTTAGCGACTCTGGAGCTCGAAACACGTCCGGAATTTGGCCGCCTCGACCGGTCTTCTGCCTCACTGTGATTTGGTCGCAGTATCATCACTTGGAGTTTTGTGCAGCTGACTTGGTACATCTTGACTGTGCTTTCCTGGGCCGAAATGGGTCGCCTCATCGACGCAGCCAACAAGAGGGACGAGATTATCGTAAGATTCCTGCAAAAGTTCACAGTACAGTGGGGCAGTCAAAGTCCCTGACGGGTTTTTAGCTCCAGAGTCGCTAAACAGGACTCGAAGCGGACGTGTGACCCCACCAATGGATTGCTCTCCGAACATGAAATCCATTGGTGGGGTCACACGTTTGGTTCGAGGCCTGTTTGGTGACTCTGAAGCTCAAAACCCGTCTTGAGGATTCTAATCAGGGTGTTAACTCATGGCAACGCGTGTCTTGTGTGTGAAATCAGGAGGCCCTGAGGTCGCTCCAGCGCAGCCCAGGTGTTCTTGCCAAGATCAAGTTTGAAGACGAGCCATCGTGGTCGCCGACACCGCACTGGGTGTCGTACTTCGGCATGGCGTTCGTTGTTGTCAAGACGTTCCTTCAACTCCGATTCTGGAAAGTCGCTTATGACGAGCCCTGGAGCAACTTTCCCTGCGTGCTGTACAACGACTCGGTCGTGACGATGATCACCGTGTCCGAGATGGCCAACTTGCTGCGTGCCAGAGACGTGGCACGCGTCCTGCAGAGCTTCTTGCTGCAGGTCCTTCACAGTGGGCCAGAAGACCGGTGGAGGCGTCAAAATCCCGGACGCGTTACGAGCTCCAGAGTCGCTAAATTGGACTCGAACCGAACGAGGGGGAAAGCACTCGCGTAATAGTCGGGTCACTCTGTCCGTAATAGCACGCGTAATAGTGTGCGTAATAGTTGCGTAATAGCTGAAATTCTCAAAATTTGATCTATTTTACGGTTTTTTGGTCTGTTTTCAGCTAAATCGCTATATTTTGAGGCGTAATAGAGCGTCATAGGCGTAATAGTCGGGTCGCAGGTTTTAGGAGTGATTTCCCCCTCGGAACCGAACGTGTGACCCCACCAATGGATTGCTCTCCGAACGAGGAATCCATTGGTGGGGACACACGTTTGGTTCGAGACCTGTTTAGCGACTCTGGAGCTCAAAACGCGTCGAGAGTTTAGGCCACTGGCAGCGGTTTCACAGGAGTCGAGGACACTGCGGCCGGAGCGCCTCCGCGCGTACCGCCGCGTGTGGCTGAGCGTGCAGGACCTGGCCAGTCGGGGCAACCTCATGCCCTGCACGTGCATGGCGCACATCGTCATCCTACTGCTCATCACCACGGTCACGGCCTACATGACGTCGCTGGCCGTGGTCACGGCCGAGTGGACACTGTTCGGCGCGCCTCTGTTCGCCTGCGTGGTGGCGTCTCTCAGCATCCTCGGCGTCAACGATGCCGCTCACAGGCTGTCTGACGAGGTGCGGTCTCAAATCCGGTGCACAGTGGGCCAGAAGACCGGTGGAGGCGGCCAAAATTCAAGACGCGGCTTTAGCTCGCAGAGTCGCTGGGACTCGAACCGTAACGTCACGGTTAAAACGGTACCTGGTTTTCCCAGGAAGCCTATGGCAGAGGCATAGGCGATTTCCAGGGAGTTCCTGGAAAAACCAGGAACACAGAAAAACCAAACGTGGTCTAGACCACACCAACTGGTGTGGTCAAATGGGTGCCATTTTGACCGCATCAGTTGGTTTGACCACACCAGTTGGTGTGGTCTAGACCCGAGGGGTGAATCACAAGTGTACTCATGTGTACAAATTTGGCCGTACTCAGTGTACTCACAAGTTTAAAAAGGGCAATATTGACTTGTTTTTTGACCGATTTGGCGTTGAGTGCCGTTTAAAACGCTAAATAAAGCCTTAAAATGTGTTAAAATGTGAAATTTATGAGGAAAAGCAAGGTGTACTCACCCGTACTCATGTACTCATGTGTACACCAGAACGCAGAGTGATTCACCCCTCGTCTAGACCACGTTTGGTGCGAAAGACCACACCAAACGTGCCCAAACGTGGTCTAGACCACACTAACTGATGCGGTCAAAATGGCACCCATTTGACCACACCAGTGGTGTGGTCTAGACCACGTTTGGTTTTTCAGTGAACTGTGTTTACCGTGGTGTGACCTCGTCAATGGATTCCTCGTTTGGAGAGCAGTCATTTGTTAAGGTCACAGGTCCGGATTTGCAGAGCACTAAAACTTTTGGCTCAAATTTTGTACAACAAAACTTTACAGCTCGCGTTTCAGAATTTTTTTTTGAGACGATATTTTTGGACTAGTTTGTACGCGATTTTACGAGAAAATAGGAGAAAATGTGCACTTTTTCGTACGAAAATCGTACGAAAACTTTACCCGCAATAGACAGGAACGTATCATTAAAAGAGTACGCGATCATCTAGTGCACACTCCATGCCTGTAGGCAATGTACGCTAAGAACTAGCTACAATGTAGTGAATTACCAAATTTGGACACCGAATTTGGCAATCTATGACATTCCTTCCAGCTGGTGGCAGAAACTGTCCATCGATAATATGCGTGTGCGTTTGTTCATCGGATGAGTATTGACGAATTTCTTTGCATTCTTGAAATTCAATGTCCGCACAATTCCTTTGGCTGTGGTGCGGAGAGACGGCTACAATAAGTTGAAATATAAAATGTGAAATCTATCGACAAGCTGGCTTGGTTTGTTCGCTGAATGTACGGTATCTGTTCTTCAGATTCAGATGCCGTTTTTGGAACTTCTGCAGTCAAGTCCTGCATCTTCCAGCGTGGACATAGCAACAAATCGCGAGGCTAGTACACATGCAAACACTGGTAAACCTTTAGAGCAGCTGCATGCTTGCGTCAATCATGAAGTTACGCTTGAAATGAAGCCCTGACTAGAAATTCCTCCATGCATTTCGAATCAGAGCGGACAAAATTGTTACGCCTGAAAATTGAGTATAATACTACTCTGTAGTTTTACCGTGGAAGGTGTAAAAAAAGCCCAGTGACACAAGATGATACTGGAGAAATAATCTATCATCTATTATTGGTAGAGAAATATGAAGTTCTGATAAAAATGAGGCATCACGTAGTAGCTCAAAAATATAAATAAATCTTCTGAGGCTATTGGAACGCACGCATGCACTTCTGCAGCACTAGCTCAGATAACGTTTTGCTACGTTTCAGTTCGATTTGTTCATGGACGCCCTTCTCGCTAAAGTCCCTGCCGTCTCGGTGGCAGGGTTCTTCGAGCTGGACAGAGGAACCTTCACTGCGGTACGAGTCTCATACTGGTCAAGTCTGTGAAGGCTCCAAGCCTCTGATACACACTAAATGTATTTGCGCAATCTTGTCCGTGGTCTCACATTATTTTTTCGTACAAATTTGCACGTAGAATGGCACAAATTCGTGTGAAATGACGTGCAAATTTGCACGAAAAGTACGCATGCTCAAAATTGGGCGAGAACTCGTACAAAAATTGTACGAAGGAATTTGGTGAGTACTGCTTCTCTCGTAGTTTCACATCCGCCGGTTTTATGTTTCAGATCACTGCATCCATCGTCACTTACCTCGTCGTCCTGATTCAATTCCAGACAGACACTACATCGAAATTGCATAGTGTTCAACTCAACACCTCTGAGCCACCGACGACTGTTGATTACCCCTGAGATCAAAATCTCAAAGCTGCGTGAGAACAAAATTTTCTGACCAAATATCTGATATTTTCCGAACTAACCAAGACGTTCAAAATATAAACAGCTACTATTTATAAGTCTTGTCAAACTCATATCCAAATGTCTGCAACAAAAATCATGTCACTGGCATCTTTGTCAATAATCGTACCCTTCACGACGTCAATTGGATTCCCGGGGAATCATCTTTTTGAGCAAAAAATGTTGAGATTAAAAAGTCAGTTGGTAATTGTTAAGATAGACCTAAACAACTCGAAAATAACAGTAGGCATCATCTCGTATCACTGTGTGCTTTGGTCAATATGCCCCACTCCTCCACTGCAAGGTAACACTAGCAATGTTATTGAGAACCAAAATGAGTGTGAAATGGAAAAGAATTGGTGTTATGTTAAGAAGAGCTCTGCCAAGCCGATATTTTTCAATGGATATGGTTCTTTTTAATACTCAGGTAAAATCAACTCTGAACATACAAAAGTGCGAAGAAATAAAAACGGTCCTTGGGAGAAATTGTACAACCACATTGGACAAATTTCCTCAAAAATTAAGTATAAGACTCAAGATACAGCAGCTACATTAGAAAAACAATCACAATACTCATAAAGTAACTTAAAAAATAGGTGGCCTTGCAGTTAACACTTTGCTCCTTGAGATCCACAAAAGAAATGAGCTCCATACGGTTCTAATTGTGACAAAGGTGACAGTAAAATTTACAAAATGTTAATTAAATAAGTCGTTTCTCTATCCTTGTTTGAATTTAGCCGTGTAGATCACTTCTCAAATTTAACTGAGATGCAAACTTTGCAATTGCAAGGCTTCCCCCTGAGAGAGAGCGAATGTGCGTTTTCACAAATTATTTATTCGCACGTGGACTTTTTTTGCAAACAGCCCCTACCTTTGAGTGGGTACGAAGGTGAGATCTAACGTAAGATCCCCGAGCAAACTTCTTGTTGCAAACGGTGCACTCGAAAGGCTTTTCCCCTGTATGGGTCCGAAGATGAATTCTCAGATCACCTCCCTGAGTAAACTTCTTGTTGCAAACGGTGCACTCGAAAGGCTTCTCCCCCGTATGCATGCGAAGATGAGCTCTCAGATGACCTACCCCCGGAAACTTCTTGTTGCAAACGGTGCACTCGAAAGACTTTTCCCCTGTATGGGTGCGAAGATGAGTTCTCAGATGACCTCCCTGAATGAACTTCTTGTTGCAAACGGTGCACTCAAGAGGCTTCTCCCCAGTATGAGTGCGAAGATGACTTCTCAGATCACCTCCCCTTCTAAACTTCTTGTTGCAAACTGCGCACTCGAAAGGCTTTTCCCCTGTATGGGTGCGAAGATGAGTTCTCAGATTACTTCCCACAGTAAACTTCTTGTTGCAAACGGTGCACTCGAAAGGCTTTTCCCCTGTATGGATGCGAAGATGAGTTCTCAGGTGGCATCCCTGAGTAAACTTCTTGTTGCAAAGTGCACACTCGAAAGGCTTTTCCCCCGTATGGACGCGAAGATGAGTTTCCAAAGCACTTCTGCGCGTGAACTTCATATTGCAAACTCTGCAACAGACAGCTTTCTTCTCTACCTTGCTTCGTTCAGCAGTCTTGAGGCCATGGCTGGTGGACTCCTTACGGCAATCCGTCTTGGTCCCCTTCTTTTTCGGCGGCATTGTGGGGATACTCGTTGGGAATGAAAATCTGCAACACGCAAAAGATGTTCGAATCTATTAGTGCCCATTTGTCGAAAACACGCCTGACCGGACACAATACGCACGAATCGAGGGGTGGCCGACTCCAGAAATTTCTGTACGAGGAACATGTTCCGGACGGTACATGTTGGAACATGTTCCAATTTTGGGAACATTTCGGAACATCTCGGAATAGAGGGAACATCGGAATCATCAGGAACATCGGGGAACATTTGGAATTATCTGGAAATATGTTGGAACATTTGGGAACATTCGGGAACATCAAGGAACATCTGAGAATATTAAGGGAACATCTCCAGAGTACCTCCATTGCTGTCGAATGCAATGCAAAGAATAGATTCTACTTGATATCGCTATCGAATTCTGTCTTCTAAGCCAAACTGCAAATCTGAGTGTCGGATAGTCTGACCACACCTAAAGTCGAACCTGGGTCCAAACTTCTTCGATTGACTCAAAATGGACCGGTTGACCTTGCCCTGTTTCCAAAAACACCCCTCTTTTGCTATTCTAGCTTTGTAAGGGGATCCTACTTTGCCCCGTAGACCATGACGGACCTGCAGCAGTGCCCCTGGGCCTCGGATCGAAAAAGCCGACTCAGGGTAGTTCATTTGGTCGTCCAAACACCAAATTTGGAGTAGATCGGACGGCGGCATTTCCCCCTTCCCCCTTTTACGTACGTACGCGCGCGCGCAAACACACACACACACACACACACACCATGCACTCTCGTTCCAAGTACGTGACATCACGTTGAAACGAACGTGACAAAATGTGGCATTGTCACATTCGTTTGGATGTGAACAAGGTAATTTTTGGCCGATTCACATCCAAACGAATGTGACTCAATGCTCAAACGACCGTGACATAGTTTCAACCGGATGTCTCGCACTACGAATGAGAGTGTGCATCCGACCATCCTGACACGGGACAGGCTAAAAAAGATATAATAAACCAGAGGAACACAAGGAACATTTTGGAACATTAGGACTTTGGAACATTTGGGAACATCGAGGAATACTGGGAACATGAGAACATTGGGAACATCAGGGAACATTTTTCGGAACATTTGACCGATGTACGAGGAACATCGAAGTCGGCCACCCCTCGGCACGAATTCGTAGGTAACTATGTACGAAACTGTGCGTTGTTGCACATGAATACCTTCAGAATAAGCCTCGGAATAAACTATGCTCAAAAAACTACTAGGCACAACACTAAATGTCTTAGGAAGAAATTTTCCATACGACGAAGGAAATGGCGCAAGCATATTACGAAGGTGGTTTTTCTTCGTGTTACGAAGGTTTATCTCTGTACACTGAGAAAACCTTACAAAGTATTTTGGGCCATACAAAGAAAAGTAGTTTGAATAACAAAGTATTTTGAGCATACGTAAGCTTACAAAGAAAATACTTCGTAATTTACGAACTATTTCTTCGTATAACAAAGTATTTTAGTTTGTTATATGTATGCTCAAAATACTTCGTAAGGTTTTAAGAGTGTATCTTACAATGAAAGAGCTAAAAGGATTCTTGTTATGAAGGATTATTGCTTCGTATTATACTTGCGCCGAATAACATTGGTCAAATTTCATTGTAAGACATAGTGAACTCAAGTGGGTGCGCATGCGAGGGTGGGCTAAACGGGAAATTTCCCTGACATTAGAGCGCATGAAAACATTGAGTTGAACTCGTATCGCGCTCTCCTCCGCGGTTGTCCAGCAAGCAAGTCCAGTGTCGCAGTAAATATATTTTTCCCTGACATTTTGCTGCATTTTGCGCCCGGATATTTCACCTACTCCCTTCACACTAAATTAATATGTAGGTATTTCTGCACGCCAATGCACGAAATTAAACATGCACTTCGTAACGCACGAATTTGAGCGCGACAATGCACGATTTCGTGCGCAAGTATGCAGTAAATCGTGCATTTTCATGCACAAATTCGTGCGTTACGAAGTGCATGTTTAATTTCGTGCATTGGCGCGCAGAAAAACCTACATAGTAATTTAGTGTGATTTCCTCCCGGCTTCCGGTTTTGTTCTTCCTCTTGTTCTTCGATCGGCGACGACTAGAATGGTTGCAGACTCAACAGACTATAGACACTTCCATCAGAACGCCGAGTGAGAAAAGAGCACCGGGACCAGTTCCTGAGATACATCTATAGTCTTCTGAGGAGGTTTTGACGGTCTAAAACCAGGAATCTCACCTTAATGAAATTTTATCTTTGAATCTATTGAGTCTTTAGACTCAAATTTACGCTATTCTGACCTTTCGACTGATTCCACAGTGTCTTTTCATATACTCAAATTTACGCTATTCTGACCTTTCGACTGATTCCACAGTGTCTTTTCATATGCTTCTGGCTGTCACCGTTTAAAGAACATACTAAGAGGGAAACCAAACCGGAAGCAGGGAAGGGTCAGTAGGCAGTGAGTCCGTTTACAGGGTGCTATGTTTCAAGGCATTTCAAACAAGCTAAATTGATAGTGCGTGAAAGAGAGGCGTTACGGCTAATTCTGTCACTAACGCACTCGCAAAGATCTGTGAAGTTGGGCTGCTGGCGCCATTTCTGGTTTTGAGATTTCTCGTTCTCGCCCCGCATCTACCATACAGAGCTCACTGAAAAATAGAAAGGTCAGACTTTTGACCCATTAAACGGTCTTACTGAAATGTACGACCGAAAAAGGGTCATACTGAAATGCAAGACCGAAAACAGGTCATATGACCGAAAAACGGTCATACTTTATGGTGTATCACGGGTAAAGGCTAATATATCCCCAAGCTAAACAATAGCTAGTCTCGCTGATGTCTGAGCGTGTTTTGGTCATACATTTAAGCATAACCGTTTTTCGGTCACACATTTGTGTATGACCGTGTATGACCGTTTTTCGGTCATACAAAATCGGTCAGACGTCTCACCCTTCGAGTTTCAGTGCTCAAAACTCACAAGAGAGTCTCTCCATGTTCTGGTGAAGCACTTCAGTCTGACCAAATTTTTGCGAGACCATCAGCTCTGATCTAAACCTGGCAAAATTTCGCCCCTGACTCGCCCCATTGAGTGGCGGGAAGTCAGACTTTTAAGTGAAAGTTTTCAACCGCTTATTGAAAAAGGGTACCGATCCCAAAAGTGCGCGGTTTAACTTTACTGTTTCCGCCTTGTTATTGGTTAAGACGAAGGGTTTCTTAAAAGTGGCTCAAATAATAATAGGTACTTTCTGGAATAGACCCCAAGCTTTGCACGTTTTTTTGCCGGACCACCTTTTTGGGAAAATTAAAACGTAAAATATTGCCCAAAAAATGCCGGGCCCCGGGTAACAAACCGTTTAATTTTTTTTCCCGAAAACCTTTTGGAAAAAGGGTTTTTCCCCCGTTTTTGACAATCCGCACCTCTTCTCGTAGGCCCCCCAAATAAATTCTAAATGAACAGATTGAAAATGACACGAACTTCAAAAAACAAGTGTATGACGACGGCCAGAAAGACACATGCAACAGTGGAAGAAACAGAAGTTTCGATAAAGACGAAAGAAATTATCTTTCGGGAGGGATCTCGAAGACCGGAAACAGCTTGCAAGTGACTGGATCACGTCATCAGACGCCGCTTTGAGATCATTTCCGGTGAACTATACATCACATAGGACTTCCGCGAACTGTTTCCGGTGTTTGCCCATTTCATACAATCATCCACCATCAGACAATAAAGGTTAGCCCTAGTCAGCCCCAAAAACAGCTCCTGCGCAGACGTTCCTCCACCAGCCGGTGCGCATGCGCAGAAGTGTAATTTTCAGAGCTTACTTTTGGTTATCTTCTTCCGTTTCTATGTTCATCTGAGTACAGTACCCTATCCCGAGTAAGCTTTTAAAAAATACTGTCTAAATTAAACGCCCCCCCTTCATGATTACTCACGGGTGAAGTTTAGGGGCGCCCAGCTGATCAGCAGAGAAGACCGCGCCTACGCCCTCAGGTGGCGAACTTCGGCACCTCAGCAGTCAGCGGCATTTGCCGACGTAACCCCCGGTGGGCTGTCCAATTTCAAGCCCGTAACCCCTACCCCAAAGAGGAAATTTGAACCCCTTTCCGGGGAAAAAACCCCCCGGATGCCAGCAGGGAAAGGAACTTTTTTGGGCCCCTTCCGGTTTGTCGTTCCCCCAGGTTTTAACAAATAAATTTTTTCCTGGGGTTGTTTTATCCAAAAAGGGGCCTTTGGTCGCTTTTTTGGGGGGGGAAACTAAAGTAATTTATTTGGGCCCCGGGAAAAGGGACGGGAAAAAAGGGGCCCCTTTTCCCCTTTTTCCCCCGAAAACGAAAAGGGCCGCCTGCTTTTGACCTATTTTCCAAAATTTTCAATCCCAAATGAATAGAAATTTTTGGGCCCCCCCCCCCCTTTTTAAAAAAAGGGGGGTTTTCCAATTTTTTTTAACCCTGTAAGAAAGCCCCCCCCTTTTAAACCTTTTCCCCCCTTTCCCCCCCGGGACCACCGGGGGTTTTTTGGCAACGCTGTCGCCCACCGGGGCCGGCCCCTGGGGGACCGGGCCCCGGCTCCCAGTTTCAGCGTCTTGTGGACATCCACCATCGCACCAAACCCCTCCACACCGGCGCCCCCACTCCGGAACCGTTTTTTTTCCGCGCAGAATAACTTTTCCCGCGGTCCTTTCTAGAAGTCCCAAAAGTTCCTGCCTTCTGACCTTTTCGGAAGGTTCGAAAGTCGGCGAAGAAGTGATCTTGGGGAACGAAAGCTGTTTTGTAGGCGAGCGGGCTTTCTTCCGTTTCTATTTGGGGGGG